TTCCTATTCATCTGGAGACAGAAGACAGTATCGCATGGGAGCAACTCTTCATGAGGCGAAATTGCGGAGGAAGGAGAGACAGAAAGAGAATAAAAGGAAAGGAAGGCCGCCAACTTCTGATCAAGCAGCTCCATCGACTGCAGCGGCATGAAACTCAGAGCGGAGGCTAACTTTTAATGATAGCTAGGAAGTGAAGATACTTCTGATCACAGTTGATACTTTGCTTCCAGGCTTGACTTTAAGTTGCCAGGCTGAAGTTTTAATGGATTCTGGTTTGCAACAAGGAGAAACTTTTTGTCAAAGAAGATACTCCTGCATTCCAGGTTTATACGCTTTAGCATGCAGATAAATACAGTTTACTAAACGGTTATTATCTGCAGGTAGGTATGGACAGTTTTTCAGAACTGATGATAACTACCACAGCCGCTCTTTTGAGGTGACCTCTAATGGACAACCATTCATGGTTGATGATTAAGTCATTTCATAAGTTTGCATTTGTAGTGCAAGTTTTGTACATACATTTGCCGGTGTCTCCTTCCTTTTTGTTTTTGGTGTCAATGAGAGTAAGAGTCCTTTTGATGCAGTGTATGGAAGCGGCCGAGACCACTTTTAGAGAAGAACAATCCTCGGACCGAGAGTTGACGCTCCTTGCATTTTGCAAGGCATCTTAATTCGTTGCAATTTGTGCGGTCTTGAATTTTTAGTTCTTCGTTACGCGAGTGTCGTTTACTGCTTTTACAGGTCTCTGTGTAAGAAAGCCGCTTTCTTTTGAATTTAAGTTTCTTTGAAGCTCTGGCTATTTAAGGGCTATTGAGCGCCGGTACATGGTATCTTCGCCGGTGAACGATACAGTCTCCAGCTGAGATACATTGTCTTTGACTTTGTATTTGAGGTGAGTCAGCTATTGCTCCCTCACTGTATTTAGTATACCTAGAGATTACCTTTTCTAAAGTGTGAAATACATTGGAATTGGTAAGTACAGGGCACCGTGGTTTCCTTTTAAGCTTACTAGAGCTTGCTGGACTGTTTTAGCCTTGCGGTAGAAAAATAGTGTGCGACATACGCAATAGGCAGGAGTGGACATGAATTTTGTGCCTGCTGAAATGTAGAGGCCTACTTGTACAGGTTCCACTCCAGTGGCCTATCTAGTGTGTCCATGCTTGACTGCCATAAGGCTCAAGACGCTAAGAGGATAAGACTCTGCGCATAAAAGACACTAGCGGTCTGCACCTCAACCGTGTACGCCCTAGTCACTCTTTCACCCCCCCCCCTCGAATTGATTTTTCAATACAGACCCCCCCCCGCCCCCTTGGAATTGATTTTTCAATACAGACCCCCCACCCCCTCCCCCCCTCTAAAATCAATTCTCTCCTGGAGAACGTCTTCGTGAGCCTCTCATGATTTCAGGATAGTTGAAACCCTCTTGAACATTCAGAAAGAGTGAATATGAAATTCTAATCACGAAAGGTGTTCCCCGAGGGGATACATACCTAGAGTTTGTTTTGTGAAGCACGTCAATTCTCTCCTGGGGAGCGTCTTCGTGAGCCTCTTATGGTTTCAGGATAGTTCAAATCCTATGATGTTCCGATTCAATGCTCACCGATGATCTGAGCCATGGGGCAAGTTTGTTTTCCTAAGAATCTTTTTGAACATTTCGAGAGCACATGTTTGAACATTTAGAGTGCAAATGAACATATATTTACGAAAGGTCGCCTCCGAGGGGATAAATCACCATGTCGAACATTGCATTTTTGTTCCTGCCTCTCGCGTTCTCTTCTCTTCCCGCTGTCCTACCTTTCGTGTCTCCCCACCTTCAAAGGGGTCACCAATGGAAGCCCCTACACCACTAAGGGACCTCCATTTGTGATGTTTCTCGGATGAAGCCCCTGGTTTTGGGGGAAGATGTTGGGCTGTCATGGTTCCCGGCTCCCGGTTCCGCCAAGCAGTGCTGCAAGTTGCTGATGCTTTGATCGACCCCTGGGACTCCAAGTCACCAGATCGACAGGTCGTTCGTGAGGAGCGACAGCGACCGCGGAAGCGGCCTCCCCTCAGGTTGATATGCCGAAGATCGCTCCCAAGGCGCAAGTGCCCGATGGGAAGTGAATCAAGGGGAGGGACCACTTTTGCATGCCATAGAGAGGGCCCCCAAGCACAAAAGCCATTAAAAACCTATATAGTGTTGCATGGTTTTGCATTCTTTAGGGTGATTTGTGCTTCCGGAAAGAACATGTTTCTCGGCTCCTGGACAGCCAAGAAGTTGGTTTTGGATCCAAGATCCAGTTCTTGCCAGCCACTCCCAGCTAAGGAAGTTAACTAGATGGTATAGAAGGACATTTGCAGGCTGTGCCAACCCACACACAAGAAGGAATGTTTTGTCCTGTTTGTTCTCCGCCATCCTCAATCATGGCCAACCACACAGACTGGATCACACATCATTGGATAAACAGGACGCAATGCATGCCGCTGGTTGACCAGGTGTTCTTGTTCGGAGAGCCCATCCTGCACAAGCAGCTCGGTGTTCATATCGTTTTGCCCGAGCGTGTCTTGGGATGTGGCATCGGATCGCATGGCATCCATGTTGCTTCTATTTATTCAAGACGCTTCGCGTCGACAGCCGCCCACACCGCGCACGAACATCCCATGTTAGTGAAATGGAGCTTCACGGGGTGATGCTGTAATAAAGGAGGTTTGTGGTTCCTCAGTCAGAAGTGAAGGAGGGTCAGATGCGAAAAGAAAGAGGGAGTAAAAGTGTTTCCCATGGGACCATGTCTGCAAATTTGTAACAACATCCCATTTCAGACATGTTGCTGGTTTTGCATCCTAAATCGCTCTCCCCCAGCAGAACCAGAATTTTAAGTGAGCTTCTGCGAACTATTTTGGCTCCAAATGAAGGACAAGTGCAGCTATCTAGGCGCCAGGTTGGCTGTCTTACGGCTGCGTTGGAGCCATCTTGGGGCCAACTTCGCCTACCTTGGGGCCCATAATGACGCTAATTGGGATCAGCTTGGGTGAGACAACGTCGGCATTGAAGCTATCTGTCAGATTGTGCTCGGCCCCCCCCTGCAGGACCAGGATTTTAAGTGAGCCTCTGCGAACTATTTGAGCTCCAAATGAGGGACATGTGCAGCTATCTAGGTGCCAGGTTGGCTGTCTTACGGCTGCGTTGGAGCCATCTTTGAGGCCAACTTCGTCTACCTTGGGGCCCATAATGACGCTAATTGGGATCAGCTTGGGTGAGACAACGTCGGCATTGAGGCTGTCTGTCAGATTGTGCTCGGCCCTCCCCCTGCAGGACCAGGATTTTAAGTGAGCCTCTGCGAACTATTTGAGCTCCAAATGAAGGACACGTGCAGCTATCTAGGTGCCAGGTTGGCTGTCTTACGGCTGCGTTGGAGCCATCTTGGGGCCAACTTCGTCTACCTTGGGGCCCATAATGACGCTAATTGGGATCAGCTTGGGTGAGACAACGTCGGCATTGAAGCTATCTGTCAGATTGTGCTCGGCCCTCCCCCAGCAGGACCAGGATTTTAAGTGAGCTTCTGCGAACTATTTTGGCTAAATGGTGGACAAGTGCAGCCATCTAGGCCCTAGGCGCCAGGTTGGCTGTCTTACGGCTGCGTTGGAGCCATCTTGGGGCCAACTTCGTCTACCTTGGCCCATAATGGTGATACAACTTCGGCATTGCGAAAAGCCATCCAAAAATACACCTCCAAAACGCTGTCCCCAGTGGCCCTGCAGCCGAGCAAGAATCAACGCAGCAACCTCCCCAAAACAAAAAAACTCCTCCAAAACCCTCTCCCCAGTGGCCCTGCAAGCACGACGTAACGAAACAGCATCCAAAATGTACCTCCAAAGCGCTCTCCCTAGTAGCCCTGCAGCTCAACCATAGCCACAAAAAAATAGCAGAGCTATATGCATAGGATGTTTTTGCTAAAGTGTAGAGCTCGCAAGAGCCCCAATATAGCATGCCCTGCGCCGACAAGCGGTGTGGGCGGATTGTCGAACTGGAACATTTGCTTCTCTCCGTAGCCACTCCTCCTGATGATGGTGTAGGTTTGCGAAGAGGAACAACGCCAACACCAACAGCCCCATATCCGGAGATGGGTCAGAAAGAAGCTCCTTAGCACTGCGACTGAGGTACTACACCGCCTTCGATGCGAAGAACTTCCAAGTTGGCTTTCCTGACCAATTTGGTTGAACTTGGCAGCTGGTTTGACGAGCCAGCGATTTGTAATGCTTTGCACGGTGTTTGCTCGAGAACCTCCGGTTTGGCTAGGTCAGTGTGGTGCTCAGGGGCTCAATCAAGCCAGTAAGGCTTAGTACGGCTATAGGCTATAGGCATAGGTAATTTTGCTTTTACACCCACTAGTCATCCAGAGTTGCCACGATGGGGGGGCCTGAAACACCTTTCCCGTGTGGTTGGCCAGGCTTTGCACCAGCCAGACACGACACCAACCTGGTCGTTTGAGATGCCACTGGGGGCCCGACCAGGCGCACATGGCAGATCATGGCGGCATGGCAGAGGGAAAACACATAAAGCCTGGAAAGGATCTAATTCTGGGTGTCACAAGGTCTCCACAAGTCTGGCCCAAGATGTTGTTTCTAAATCTTCCTGTCAGCTTGACAACGTTTGAATGTCACGAAATGTCAGTGATGATGCCTGCATGATCTGGTTGATGGATGATTTGTTCGGACTGTTGCTTCGGACGGCCTCGAACTCACCTCCTTTGGGGGGTGCGTTCTGGGGTGTGTTTAGTCATGACGAGCGGATGCTTTGAAAAGGTGTTTTCGCTTGGGCATGCCATGGCGAAGCATGAAGGCTTGATTCAAAGCTAGAAGTTCAAAGCGAACGGCTGATGGGATCCTTTGGCTCTTGCTCAAAGGACTCAACATGATTCAACATCTGAAAACTCAGGGATTTTGATGATTCAAAACGACTCCAAGGTGGGTTTTCTTAGACGAGGCCTGCCAGTTCTCCTAGCTTTCTCCCATGGCGTTCCATGCCAAGCGCCACAAGCGCCCTCGCCATCGCCCGGCTGCGGCGGGTGCTGTCGCAGAGCGCGCGCGCGACGCAATGGCGGGTGTGTGGCTTGGGCGACGCATGTGACGGATGGGTTTTAACTGTTAGATGACCGAGGTTGTGGGACCATCCATCAAACAAACATGAATTCTAGGGACATCTAGGGACCATTAAAAAAATCAACTATTTGATGTCCATCATTGAAATGGTTTAAACATCATGTATTTGATGGTTGCGATCCTCCAAAAGATAGAAACGGTTCCACGACATTTTGAGTGGGGACCTACTTTTCTGTTTAGTCCATTTGGGGACTACTATAACCACTTCAGCTGGTGGACATTAGGGATCTTGTGTGTGTGGGGGCTCACACTAAAGATTGGAGGTCAATTCTTGATCCCGGATCCTCAAGACATTTGGGGAGCAGCGGGGTGGAACTCCTGATTGAAATACCTAATACCTTGAAGGATTCATGACCTCAGAGTAGAGTATTTCCAGTGCGCCCTTTTGATCTACAGTGAGGCGAAGGTTTCCGGGATGGTATTGGAGGTTGTGCTGCTTTGTCTAGGTATTCTCCTCTGAAACTTCGTGAATTTATGTAATGACAATGGTTTACCTCCTGATTTGTTTGAGCCTGTCCAATTGAGAAAGGAGAACCAAGAATTGTCAGTGCTGGAGTGCTGGATTAATGAGGCCGAGAAACTAATTCATGTGTTCCAGCCCCCCATGCACTCTTTAGGAGACAAATCCATGAAGCTGGAGCATCAACAAATGCTTTACTCGGGCTGGGTCCCTGGGTAAACCTTATTCCTCATCCCGTTGTGGGCCACTGCAACTCCACCAACATTGCCCAGCACAGAGTTTGGCCTATCCCCGTTCTAGACGTGCAGGCCTGTGAAACAATGTATGCCTAGCACCTTACTTGTAGCACCTTTAGAATGTTCAACCATTTTTTGTGTGGCTGCCAAACAGGGCAAAACTGGCAATGGCTATATGTAGTTCTACGTAGCTCTAAGTTCAAACTCCTTGGAAGCAAATGTTCAGCCATCTGGCGCCCGCCCCACGAGGTCTAGACCTCTGGGAGCATCACCGGCTCTCCATTTGCGCCTCAAGCGCTATCAGTGCCTGTGGTCGTCGAAGCGACTGGAGGCGTAGCCTGGAGATCTACGAGGCCTTCGATCGTGAAGCTCCGAGCCCCGGACGCAGTCGACGCAGAGGACGAGTCGAAGCGGCTGATGATCACTGATGATCAACAAGCGACAACCAGTGGGAGACCAGACGGGGCAGAGGGACGAGAGGTCAGTGTAGAACATGTTCTAGGATGCTAGGGCCAGGGGGGTGGATCAGCTTGTTAGCGCGTTTAGCACCGCCGGTGTTCGTTCGGAGGCCGGCGGAGCCAGTAGAAGTTGTTCATTCAGTTGGGGCATCGGGTTTCATTGAGCATGTTGTTGTATCTCAATTCTTTTGGATCTTCGGATAACCTTACGTGTAGTGGAGAAGGACTCTTCAGGACAGTTTCTTGATGTTCAGTTTTCCCTGCTGAAGAAATCTTGATAATCCCAACCACTGGGTTTTTGGTTTGGATGCTTTGCGCAAAACATGTCCATTCTTGATGGCTTTTGTATGCTTTTGTTGGATATGGGTCAGTAGCTATCTTCTGGAACATGTTGGTTCTGAACCTTGCTGGGCTCAGATGCACTCCACGGACCAGGCTCAGATGCTCTCCACAGCCCAGCTGGGGCAGCACAAGTGGCTCAATCAAGGATATACCTCTTGGTTTTTTGGTGACAGAAATCGGTACATAGGAGCCCATAGGAGCCCCTTTCTGAGGCATGACCCAGGCATTCTTTGTGGGACACATGTATAGATCAGGCAACTGTTTGCCTTTTTGCACGCCTTGTGTTTGACCCCACAGCCAGGCCAGGATTAAGTCTCATGGATCCTGCAACTTCTTTCTGGCAGCACTTTCCAAGGTCAGGGTCCTTGGTCCACGTCCTTGCCGAGACCATCCCATGACCCTGTGCCTGTGCTTTGAGGCCACCGGTTCGCGACCCTGCGCCTTTGAACGCCCTGCTGGCAGCGCTGGCGACGGGCGCCCAATGGTCTTTGGGCCTCACCTTGCTGCGCGCCGTTCAGCGGGCGGCACTGGACGTGTGGGGCTGGAATTCCGTCCCTCTGGCGCGTTCTTAACCCAGACGCTCCATGGGACTGCTATATATGCTGCCCCATTCACCCCCTGGCCCCTGGCACCACCCCTGTCCTGATTGGCAGCCCTATGGCAGTCCCATGGGTCGCGTCTGGGTCAGGCCGGTGGGGTGTTTGCCCCACCTCTAAGAAGTCATATGGCATATGGCACCGGGGACCCCCATGCACAGAATAGACGACCCGACAGACAGTGACATGGTCACCGACCAGGCGTTTGGGCTCCGGTTTTGGACCCACGCATACAGGTGGCTTTCCGTTTGGCAAGTGTGCCCGGTTTCTCCATCCCTTGTAAATCACGTTTATTTTTGCCACCGGGACTTGGGCAAGATAGCTATCACAAAAACTCACGTCCCAACTGGTGACCGAAACGATATCGGATATCGCACCCTGAAGAACTCAACTGTCATCGCCCTCTTGTGTGCATAATCTATCATGACGTGGGTCTTAAATCGCAAGCGAACCACCTTCTATACGACATGGATTCCACCATGCTCCACTCAACATGTCGCTTCAGCAGCTTCCCCTGAGGCGATCCACGCCTGCGGCCGGGCGGCTCAGTGGCGCTCGGCCTGGGCGTTGCTGGACGAGCTCCAGCGGCGACGGCTGGCGGATGCGTCCTCGGCGGCTGGGAAGAACCGCTTGGAGCACCGGGTTGTTGACGTCTGGTTTCGGGGGAAGGTGGTGGGGTGGAAAAAAACACCAGAGAATCAGGACAGGTAACATCAAGTAACACAAGCCAACCCAAGCCTGGCCACTTGGGGGTGTTCGTTGGGTTTGGCGGTTTCGCGTGGGCGGTGTTGTCCTTTTCCAGGTGGGCTTTGGCAAGAGAGAGCCGTGGTGGCCACTGACTAAGGTGAATGCCGCGATCAGTGCCTGTGACAGGTGCCGGCCTCCGATTCCGTCGTGCGAACGTTCCCCTTCAGCGGCTCATCGGAACCGAACGGTTCCAGAACCCAGACCATCCATATGACATATATTATACCTATATACCTTGGTGACATTCATGTCATGCATGTCAATATGCCAGTCCTATGGGATGGTCGATTCGACATGGGCTTCAAGCCGAGTCCCTCGGACCACTCGCCTGGCGCTAGTCTTGGCTGGGAATCTTCGGCCTGGAATCTGAGCACTCCAGGTGGAACAACCACCACACGCCTCCTCAGACCAGCCCAGCCCAGCCCAGCCGATCAGGTCCTTTGAGTTCACGGCTCTCCCTGCTTGGCCGGCTTTGGTGGGTGGAGTGAAAAGGGTCGGAGTCCGATTAATTCCTCGGGGGCTTTTCCTCATCCAGAGAATCAATGGGATTCTTTCAGTGAGTGTAGGTGATGAAAAACTCTTTCTGATGATTCTGAAGCCCGCCACAGCGCCTGTGCACTCTAAGACTGCGCCCACTGCCCAGGGCAGCAGTGTGGGAGGGAGCTTTGGCGCTCCTGGGCCAGGCTCGAAACCATCATGAACGGAAACTACACTCCCTGAAATCATCGTGGAAGTGGAGTTCACCACCTGTTTGGTATTTGGAAAAACGGTACTGTACTCCCGGGCATGCCATCCACGTGGAATCTTCCAGCGAGTGGAATTGTCCAAGTGCCCCCCATGTGGGCTTTGACAAAAGTGTCGTTCATCATTTTTTCCAGCCTGTGGGCTGCCAACTTCCAGCCACACAACTGCCAACTCACACCAATTGGTTCCGCCACCCACTGCTTGTGCATGCTTGGTCGTTTGTTTTTATTGGGGGGTTGTGTGGGGGGAATTATGCCAAAGCCCTTCTGCCACTTGCTCCAACTCAAGTCAGACTTGGACTCTGAAAAGCTAGAAGCTAGCAGAGAAGTCAACTTGAACCATCGGACATATTTCCACATCGGACCCTACACAGAAAAAAAGAAACATACTCTACAGTGCGTGAAATAAACCCCCACAACGTATTCATAATCATTCAAAATTGGGGATGGGGCCATGGCTACCCTCCTGAATTATGTTTTTTGGGGGGGGGCTGACGCCCCCCGTAGCATGGATCCCCAATCGTTCTTTTTTTTGGGGGGGTTGTGTGGGGACATATGCAGTATGGGTCACCCCGAAAGAAGTAATCCCAACCAGAACACCAAAAGCCCTCTGAAAAGCTAGAGGCAGTTTCCCCATCCCACTGCTAGAAGCTAGCGAAGAAGTGAACCTGAACCATCGGACATATTTCCACGTCGGACCCCACAAGAAAAAGACATCTTCTATAATAAATACGTGAAACACAACGCCTCAGAACGTATATGCGACTCACTCAAACCCTAGGGATCCAAGTACCTTCTCAGTAGGTGATTGGAGACACCGTTATGTAGGTTTGGAGGGTCCAGTCGTACCTTCTGAGGTTCGGTATTTGGATCCCTACAAGGAGAGGAAAAAAAAACATTCTTGGTCAAAAGACTTCTCATTCCCCTCCCCTCCTCCAGGTTCATCCCAAGCCCGACGTCGTGGGCTTCAGCGCCGCCATCGCCGCCTGTGCGAAGCGCGCGGTCTGGCGCCAGGCGCTGCACCTCTGGCGCAGCCATGCGGCGAACGTGGCTCGGGGGAGGGCAAGGGGGACGGTTGGGCTGGAATTCCAGTTGGATTGTTGTTGGATTTGGGAGGATTTGAGGAGCTAAATGCTCAATATTTGGCAAGTGCGCTGGCATCCATGTTCTTTGTCTGCTATTGCTTGCTTCGGGATCAATTATAGGGTGATTGAGACAAACTTGACAGCTTGTGGCTGGGCTTCAGCGGCCATCCTTGTCCGTGGGCTTCAACGGCCATCGTGGAAGTGAGCATGGTACAAGCATGCACGCTAGGGACGTGGATAACACCACATAAAAGCACGGCTATTATTGCGCTGCAGGACACTTCGATCAGAAGCTCTAACCTTTCAAATCACAAGCTCTATGAGAAGGAGATGATATACATCTATGCATTACTATGGTATGGTGTGCAGAACCACGCTCCACTCTCCACACCTCGCCTTTGCACCTGGAAGGAAGTCGGTTTTGGAGCCACCATCACCGCCTGTGGAAGGAGCACGCGATGGACCTTGGCGCCGCTTGGGCATCCCAAGGGGATATGGGTTTCTCGGTGTGGTGTTCGTTGAGCTGCATGGCGCCCATGAGCCGGGGTCTTGGATTGGTCTTCAATTGTTTATTGTTATTTGTTTGCCATTTGTTTATTTGTGGTATACGGTATACGGTTGTTCCATATACTCACCTTCAAGACTTCAATACACTTGTTTTGCGTGGTTCTTGTTCCACACTCACCTCTCACCGGCCCAACTGGTGGATGCCTTGGCCGCTACGAAAGACCTCTCAGTCGAGATGTGTGTAAAGCTTCGCTACCATCTGTTTTCGCGAAGAGCTGCAGCTGCACTGAGGCTGCAGCTGTTCACTGACGCCCTCAGCGCTTCCTTGGCCTCCTTGACCTCCTTTGGTGCCGCCGTGCTCTGGACGGAAGCGATGGGGGTGGGAGCTGGGTGAAAACGTTGCCTTAGACCAGGCGAAAAGGTTGCCTTTAAACCAGCTGGTCAGCTTTTTGGAGGTTCTTCTTGGCGTTGAAGCCTTGAGGTGCTAAAGACCCATGTGGTAAGAGAACTAAAGAGACTAAAGATGTGGAAGTTGTTCTTCAAAGGTTGGCTCTTCCCCCGGCACGTGGCCCGATCCGTGGCTTTGGAGCTGGGCTTAGCGGCTGAGGTCAGTGCCTGTGAGCTAGGCACTGCCTGGGAAACTGCTTTGGGGTTGATGTCATCAGTGGGTACGCTACTTGTACTAAGCTCTTATGATGTTAGACTCTATTTCTTATAGTCACTGGATGTGCCTGTTGACTGCACCTGGCCTCTGAGCAAGGCGAGCTTGGAGGTCCAGGGTCCCCATGCGGGGCGGGGGCCTGTAAGGACCGTTGCTTGGCGCTGCTGGCGTCCGCCATGCGAGAACCGGCATTGGCGGATCGGGTCACCTGTGCGGCGGTGGCCGAGGTGGGACGGGGGGGGGGGCCGGCTTAGCTGGCCAAACTCCTCCAACTCAGGAGAATGCAGGCAGGTGGAGGTATAAACACTCCCTGCAACAATCATGGAAGTGGACAATGGCTCCTGGAAGACCATTGTTTCTCTAAGGGGGTTGCCCACTTTAATGTTAGCTCATGTTAGCTCCAGGGGAGTAGGCAAAATCACACAAAATCCAAACCATTCACACATCCCAACTGCTCTTCCAAGGTTTTCACTTAGGTCCAGTTCAGATGTTGCATGTCCCAAACTTTACGCACCTGAAACTGATGGGAAACACCAGTTACAATTCAATTCCTGCATGGATTTGGGAGATCCAACTTGCATGGAGTTGTCATTCTTTGATATACCATTGATCTACAGTACCATGTTGTTTTTGCTTTTCTTTCCGGACACCACGGGCTGCTCGGGGCGTTTTCGCTCCCAGCTGGAGGCTTGTGCCTCGGCAGTCGCCTGGGCCACCGCGCTACACTTGGCTTCGCTGGGCCAGCCGCCCGTGGCGCAGATCGCCGCGCGAGAGGCACAGCGGCGGGTCCTGTGGCGGGGATGAGGTTGAATCCGTAGGCCATAGGGGCGGCTTAGGTCCATGCCTTTACCCCAAAAAGCAACTAATGAATACCTATATATATATATATTATAGTTAATTCATGTTAATTCCAATTGATTCCATACATCATTTAAAGATTCAACATGATTCAACGCCTTTTTTGGAACTTTGGGTTGTTGATGGTTTTCTATCAAGTTTTTCCCTCGTTTGGATTCCACTTCTCGTTCTACCGGCAAAACATGCAGACTTTCGATGACTTTTCCCTTGTTGTGGTGCTTCAATCAGTGGACATTTGCTCTTTCCTCAGGGGCGTTTCACTGATCCCATTGTTTGGATGCTTTGATTGATCAGATGTTTTCCTTTTGCAAGAAGTAGCCCTCTTCAAGAAACTAGCTATGTATAAGTCTAAGTAGGATGTATGTGAAACCGTGGAGGCAGGAACTTCAACACCATCGTGAAAATCCAACTATTGATACGGTAAACTGTGGCTTTCATGTTTGTTCTTGACAATCTGGATTCATGAGAAGTTCCGGATTCATTAATCGATTTGGCAACCTCTTTGACCAACTAGGACGGCGGTTCTGAGGCCCTGGAGCTGGCACAGGTGAGTGTGCAACTGCCCAGGCTGGAGAAACTGAGCTTTCAAAACGACTTTTGGGCATCCAAAAGCGTGAAACGTTTCACAGGAGGGAGGGTTTGGGTACTCACTCACTGACTGACTTGCTGACTGACTGACTCACTCACTGGCTCACACACACACACATACATATGTCCCTCCATCACCTCTTAGCCACTTAGGACCCAAGTTTTCGGCCGCCTGGCGTGGCGAAGGTGGCAGGACAGCGCGCTGTAGGGCGCGCCCTGGGCGACGGGATGTCCCAGCGTGGGAAGACAGGGGCAGCAGCTGAAGGATCAATGCCCTCTTTTCAATGACTATGGACCATGATGGATCATGGGGCCCCTGGCCCACAGAGGGGCCCGTTGATCCGATCCAAGCGTGACTTGCATGGTTCATTGGAATTCAGCTAGCTACGATCCACGCGCTTGGCAGGACACTCTGCGGACACCCTCCTCCAGCCATCCAGAGGACCCAGAGCAGCTTCGGTAGTGGAGGGTGGGAGCTGATCTGTGAAGTTTGTGTGAAGAAAGGTGCGCTCCCCACCCCAACCCCATTCCACACAAAGGCACAAGTACTTGTTGGCCAGAAGCAGGTTGTAGGTGAGGATTGGCTTGCTTGACCCGTGAGTGTTCGGTTGGTGAGCTTCATCCAGGCCAGTCTGAATAGCAAGCTGATTGCAGGATCGAGACCTAAAGTAGCCGGAAGAACGGAGGTGGTCGAGGGTGGTCGTGTGGCTGCATGACCGCCGGTGTCCGCGGACAGCGGCGGAAACGTGAACACGACACATGTCTCAAATGTTTCATGTTCTCGCCCATCATACATGAGCTGGTACGCTCCTGGTTCTGGTGACGTGCCGCTTCGTCTTGGAGCTTCCCCGGTCTTGATGGCTTGCAGAGAGGGAACTCCAAGGTCTCTCTATAGGGCACTGCCTCCAGGGCAATCCCCACTCAGATTGGCATAGGAGATCCGGCCTTCTGGACCTGGTTTTGCTTAATTAAGATCATTTGTGTATTTTCCCGAACTGGGTATCACCAAACCTGGCGAATCTGTTTCCGGGCTCCGCCAATCCAAGGCCACGGTCGCCGAAACCCACCGCCGTAGGAGATCACCTTAGCCTCGGCGCAGGGGCGTTTGCTCTTAGAGACTCGCCAGATTGGTGTGGATGCGGCCTCCTCTGGGGCGAGTCGGAGCGCGAGGTCGGTGGGGCGTACGACTCTCGGGCAGCGAGTTCCTGCCAGGGGAGAGGAGTGCTGGAAAGCAGGTGTTCGTTCGCGGGTGACGAGCAAGAAAAGGATTGGTGACTTAAAGGATCTTTATTCATAGATGTCTGACTGAAGACACTGGAAGCCTTGAGCTAAAAGCGGGCTTGGGTTCGTAGCACCATAGCCAAGATATGCCAACCATGCCAGGAAAGAATCTTTGAAGCTGAGATTATCCATGTTGGTTGGTTGCTGTACTGTCACCGCACATTCTAGGTCAAAGGATCCAGTAGGACTTTTGATTCAATACTAATCACATTCGGCTGAGCTTTCCATGTGCAAGATGAAGATCCAGAGGGCACAGTTTTTACTCACACTGCTCTCATTCGCACCAAGACTCGATCGAGTAGCACGCAGGTGTTCGACGGCGCCCTTTGCGGGCGACATCCTTTTGCCTGAACCCTCACGAGATCAATTGACGGCGCCTTGGTGTTTCACTCGCGAACAAGATCCTCACTGTGACAGGAGAGGAATGCTTCGGCCAGATGGGTCCTGAAGGGGTTCCCCGGTGGTAGGCCAAACTGTAGCCTCCATCCATCCACCTTTTGGCCCTCAAAAGTGGGGCGAATCCGTGGTGAAGATCTGGCGAAACCCGGCCCTTCTTGGCCGATCGAGTCTATGAAACCCTTCGAGTCGAGGGCGATCTGTGGCGGGAGTTTCGGAACTCAGCAAAAGGAACCGCAAGGGATGGTCACCATCAAAAGACCTAATGCAGACTCTTGATTGAACACCTCCCTCCATGTGGGCCTCTTGATGTGGGGAGTTTATATAATCAAGAGTCTACATGAAAGGCCCTTCTCCTTCGAACCCGAAGAGGAACAAAATACGCTCTGCCGTTCTCTGCGGCGCCCGGCTCCGTCAGTTTCGCGGGTGGGGAGAGCCTCCCAAGGTCACCTTAGCCGTGGAGTTGCACAGCCGCCAGGGGCAATGGAGCCTCACGTGACACGCATGGAGCTTTTTGGCTATGGAACTAGGTTTGTCATGTTTGCCTTCTAGAACACCATGTTTTGTTTTGTTTATGTTTGTCTATAGATGTGACGTTTAACTCATCAATATACAATCGCAGAACATGATGACGTTTGTTCTCGGGTTAGTGTCTTGATGGCCCGACCAGGCTTGTCAGCCCACTTTCTGAAGAAAAATTACGTGTTTCGAACTTGACCTAGGCGGAAGCTATGCTTCAGAAACTGGTTTCCTGAGTGTGGAGACCTTAAAAGGTTCGAACTGCTTGATGCTTGGCATTGGCAAGGGCCCAGATGACTTTGCAAGGCTACAACCAACAATGTGACTCGTTGTGGGGAGAGGAGCCTCTTCCTCAATAGCAAGTTACAAATGCATGGCAAATGTGTCGGTTTTCAATATGTTTTCTTGCAACTTTTCGGGTCGTTCTTGCACGGATGCACCGCTCGGAAACCAGCGACGATTCACCAAAGGCTCAAAAGGCTTGGAAACCAAGTGTTGGCCACAGGTCAGCACTTATCACTGAACCCTGGAAACCCCGTCAACCAGAAACAACTGGAAATCTCCCCATTCCCCAGTCCCAACCACTTATAGTGATGTAAATGGGGAGTTGGGAGGTTTTCCATGGTTCAGTGATTTTCCAGTCTAAGACGAGTTACGAAGGGGTCCAGACGAGTTACCTGACGAAGTCCAGCGCGGCCTGGGCCGCGAGCATCACCGAGGCGTCAGCCTGGGATCCCGCCATGGCCCTGCAGATCGAGGGAAGGGCCTGGCAGCTGAGGGGTGGAGCTCAGTGAGGGGACTCCAAAGCAGCTGGGGTGGAGAGTGAGACGACCAGATGACCAGATGTGGTTTCATGTTTCATCCTTCGAGTGACTGGGAGTTGAGGACGTTTCATGTTACTGGTGATTGATTTGAGGGCATCATCCAGCGACTGTGACTCGGAATCAGAAAATGAAGAGCACGGTGAAGTTTTGCTGACCACTATAGAACCGGTAGAGAGCATGTTCCTAGGGATTTGGTTTTTGATTGAGGCTATATTGACTTAGTCATTCAGAGGCGTTTCAATCCAAATGGGGTGGGTCTATCTATTCATCAAGAGTCTACCTTAACAACCAAAACGGCGACGGTAGCAAGCCATTTCCCATGGCGGGGCTCCAACATGCTCCAGCGAGTTTTTTGGAAACCACCTTCGAGGAGTGGATTGGGGAGGTGTATGCTCGGTGCCTTGTGTCCCAATTAATAGAGATCTCGAGTCAGGGACTTCCCTGACCCCTTGCCACTACTTATTTCCAGTTCTGATGTGTACATTCTAGGCCCCCGCTTGGCCACCCGCAGCTATAAGCGGCTTTGGGGGACGGAGGAGACTTGATTCAATGAATTCTGGCAAGCAACAAGACCTGTAGAAGCGGAGCACAACCATCAAAGAACGCTCTGACTAAGAGAACAAACAAGCATTCTCATGTCCGACCAGACAACTCCAGGCTGAGTTCACCGGTATACATTTTCCTGATCGAGTTATCGTTTGTTTCGCAGCCATGATGCAAACTTGGTTGGGGCCAAGTTCTGCCAATCCTGTCCAGTGCAGGTTGGGTTCCTGCGATTTTTTCGTGGGTGCTTCGAGGGGTTCTTCTGTGGGATTGGGCGGCAGGGGATGTAGATTGATGCCGATCACTGCGTGAGAAAGCGGAATTTGTTTGGAAGGACGCTTGAACGCAGTAGGATCCGTAGAAGGACGTAGAAACATTCATCATGGTGCTTGAGAGAGGGTAGATCATGGTAGATGTTTGTTTCGGAAGATGCCACATGAATAATCATGGATATCATCCTGAGGGGTGACTTTCATGTCTCAGAGTATAGCTGACATTCTGCGGTGGCAGTAGACTCTGTAAAGGACTTGACTCATCCCAGTGTTTGTTTCACCCGCCACAGCGCCACAGCTACACGATGCCCGACGTCCATGAAGTTCGTGATCTCAAAAGCGCCCTGTTTGGTGGCATTGGGCGGCCCTTTTTGAAAGTCACCACATCCCGTTCGATCGGCCCTGCCCTGCATCGACGCTCGGGAGAGCCGAAGACCGTCCGGACGTGAGGCCGATCGTCTCGAGGGCGCCCAAGGCCGATCGTCCGGGAGAGTCGAGTCGACAGTGTTAACAAAGATTGTGGAGAATGATGTGATATGTGTATACTATGGATGAAGTTCAGAACGTCAAATCATTGAATCTCTACCAATTCTGGATACACTGCTTGTGGGCCTCGAGGTGGAGCTTAAAAAAGCTACTGGGGATTACTGGGGAAATTCACCCAGATCGCACACCGGACCTGAACGGGGCCCTTTCAATGGTGTGTCCTTTCAGGTCCACATGGTTTCACATCCCCGGACGAGACGGTCGAGACGGCGATGTGGCACGAAGAGAAGCGTTGTCAGGACCGGCCGCGCGCAGCGCCGAGCCGGAGCCGCCGTGGGCCCCATGCCACACTTTGGTCCATGCTCGGTGGTGGGCCAAGGGGAAACGGAGAACCAGGGCGAGGATCAGGATAGTTACGGACAGACCTGTCGTGCGCTTCGCACCTTTCCCGAGGTCGGGGCACGGTCGCCGCTACAGCGTTGAGGGCGCTGAAAAAGCTGGTGATTGCGGAGAAGCCGAAGCTGGGGAGCCCAGTTCGGGTGGCTGCGTTCGGCACCGAAGTTCTACCCCCCTTCCCCGGAGCGCATGGAACCCCAAACCCACTTAGTTGTAGAGGAAAATGGTCGAAAGCACGGGTCAATTCTCAGGTTATTATATGGTTCCAGGTGAGTTTGCCGGATATCATTGGCAGAAACTCCGATGGCACTGGAGAGGAGGGATGAGAGGGCGTTTACGTGACAAGGAGGAAGAGAAACACAACGTTCAACAAAGCTGCGGCCATGGAAGAAGCGGAAGAAGACGTCGGCTCAATTCTTTACAAAAGCCTTGGAACTGGCTGTCTCGACACAACACAAGCACCTGTCATTGACGCTTTCTCCTACTGGACGTTGATGCATGTTGCCCTCCCAGGGTGCATGTTCATCTATTCCCACCTTCCATCCCTGGGCAACGAACGAACCAAACTTGTCCTGGAAGATGGAAGTGTTTGAATGTCCTCAACGCTGTTGGCAATGTCCTGAAGGCGACGCGCGTCAGGAGAAGGGAATGCTTCGTGTGTTCCTAAGTCCCCCCAGAACTTAGCCAGGGCAAATTAAGAGAGAGAGAGAGAGTGGGAGGGAGGGAGAGGGAGTAATAGACCACATAGCGCACTTGTGCCGTTGCACTTCATGGTTGAAAGGCCCCCTTTTGTTGCACCCATGGATGATTCCCATGGAGGTGGCCCATGTTGGGACCTCCCAGGCTTCACAAAAGCCTATATAAAGCCCCCAACCAACTGCAACTCCTTTCTGAAGGTCTTATGCAAGCACCGCTTCCCTGTGTGCACCGCCTGGACATCAAGATGCATCAAGGGACTTCCTGGGACATTTTGGTACTTCCTGGCACTTCTCGTTCATTCTGCGATTGGCCGTGTGCGCGCGCTGGCTCATGACCCTGTTGCCAACTCTGGCACCACCTGACCACCCTCTTTCCCGATGTCGGGTGAAAGAACATCTCATGGGCACCTGAGGGGAGTCTGGGGCACACATTCTTTTCCCTAGGACTCCAGTCGTACCTCCTCAGGTTCGGTATGACTGGACCCTCCTGGCACCCATCCCAAACATCTTCTTAGAAGGTGCGACCGGAGCCGGGTTTCAATCACTTTTTTTCGGCTTGGATCTGGGGCCCCCTGCTCTTGGCCTGGCGGTTGACCCACCTTAGACACAGCTTATGATTGAGGATTTTTCCGGTAGAAATCTCTTAATGAAAAGGAAAAATCCTAAGAGACAATAAAATTCATCATTTGCAAATAATAAAAGCATGAATATAAGGAGCAAAAATATATAGGAGATAATATGTTTGCCGATTATTGTCATTCTTTATTATCAGATTTTGGCATTATATCTTGTTATTTTTTGTAGTAGCCAAAATCTGTAAAGAATGAATTAAAATGAATGAATCATGCATTAAATTATAGACTGCCAAAAGAACAGGTGAACAGTTCGGTGAACCTGCCATTAGCGAAGAATTGGGCTTCGGAGTCGGCCCTTCGAAGCTTCACAAGACTGGGCTCAGTACTGGGCTCATGTCCCAGTCTTCACCCGCCTGGTTGCCGCCTTCTTGTGGGACCGGGTGAGTGGCGTCTCTCCTTCGTTTTGAGCTGCTCAGGGTGGCCCAGCAGATCGCAGCGGCCCTGAAGATTCCAAAGGCAGAGCTCGACAGCGCTGCCGGGCCAAAGCCCAAAGGGAGTCCCCGGGGAAGGGTATGTTTAGCATTGTATATAGCTGCCAGTTTGGGATGGTTTGGGGATGTTGGCTCTGCTGGAGCAGATACTTGAACCTGCCATTAGCTTTTGAAAGAACCTTTTTACTAAGTAAACTAGGCCCCAAAAGCTTTTGAAAGATGGCTGGGACCAAAACAAGTGAGCCTGTGGGAAACCCACTGAGATCACTGGACACGGTACCATGACGGCTAGCAGAAAGCTGAGTGGGAAGAGTGTGACTTCATGAAGCTGCATGAGGTTCCTACATGCTTCCACAGGAATTTGTTGGGGGATACCCTATAACCATTCAAAACTGAACGATGCTTATGATGGCAACAGGTCTAGGATGGCTTCGTTGGTTGGGGAACTGTTCGCAGAAAGGTCAGATCAATGACATGGATGATATATATATATATATATACACATCATGAGCTCGATCTTTGCCACATCGCTGTAGCATTGGTTTGTAAATCAGCAAGGCTTAATGAAGGAACTCTTGCACCCCTGGGTTGCTATGTACTTACAGTGGGTCTAATGTAGTGGATTGATGGCAGTTTGGATGGATCCCGATCTAAGGGCATGTTTGTTCTTTTTCTGCAATCTACTCTGGAGCCGCTGCACAATTTTTGCAATGCTGTCCATGCACTCACTGGGTCTAGGCTGTGTGGCAGACTTCTCATTTGGCCAGGCTGCGAAAGGCCACTTCGAAGGGAAAGACTTGATCATCACCAGCGCTTGTGGCCATTTGCTGCAACACAAGGACACTTTGCATTCAGGGGTAGGTAGGTGCTCAAATGATGAGCTAGCAGCTAGTCTTCAAGAGCTGGAAAATCATTTCGCAGTGAGAGAGCACAGAAGTGGCCATGTGTCAGAATCAGAATCAGCAGTCAATTCTGGCTTTGATATCTTGCTTATATGCGTTGCTCGGATTGGACCCTTGAACCTGCAAGAGGGGCTCCAATGTCTTCCCTTCCTTGGCGAACGAAACAGACCTCCGCTTCCAGCAGCCCACCACCGAAAACAGTGGTCAACAAGTGATTTACAGGTCCTAGAAGTTGCTCAAGGTGTTGTGTTAGAGTCGGAGTTTTCTTCTGGGGGATCTAACTACGGGGAAGAGTTTCTGAGCCAGCTACCTGATGTCATCAAGATCCACACGCTGGGTCTATGAGATAAGGCTGGCATAAACATAAAGCAAACCAAGACTTCAAGAGTTTGTTGACCACCTCAGACATCTCAAACCGTCCATGACCGTCTTGCTCTATCCCTCTCTCCGACTCTCCTTCCAAAACCCTCGCCCATCTCGGCGTGGTCTCCGACTTCGCTCCAGTCCTTGCCCTGGATCACGAAGTTGCCGATGTTCCCGGCCTTTGATCTGGAGGTGCCCTGTGTCCAGGTCACAG